TGCACAAATACTGCAGCTCCTAACAGGCTCTTAGTCTGGCTACATCTTGAGGAGAAATATTACATCTCTCATAACATGGAAAAGATAAAATTTAATATGGATCACCTCCCATTCATATAGATCTGAAGACATAAATAGTTTCAGTGTGACCTGGAGGAGACAGAGTGTGCCCTTGTCAGGGTTTCAGACATCAAACGGCGGGTCAATAGAATCATAGAATCATAGAATGGTTTGGGTTGGAAGCGACCTCACAGATCATCTAGTTCCAGCCCCACTGCCATGGGCAGGGACACCCTTCACTACACCAAGTTGCTCAAAGCCTCATCCAGCCTGGCCTTGAACACTTCCAGGGATGGAGCATCTACAATTTCTCTGGGCAACCTGTTCCAGTGCTTCATCACTCTCAGAGTGAAAAATTTATTTGTTAGATCTAATCGAAATCTACCCTCTTTCAGTTTAAATCCATTGCCCCTTGTCCTATCACTCCAGGTCCTTGTAAAAAGCCCCTCTCCAGCTTTCCTGTAGGCCCCTTTCAGGTACTGGAAGACAGCTATAAGATCACCCCAGAGCCTTCTCTTCTCCCGGCTGAACAGCCCCAACTCTCTCAGCCTGTCTTCATAGGAGAGGTGCTCCAGCCCTTGGATCATCTTTGTGGCCCTCTGGACTCGCTCCAGCTGCTCCATGTCCTTCTTGTGTTGGGGACTCCAAAGAGCAGGATTGCCCTTCACCAGGACCCAGACAGGCTGTAGAAAAGGGTCAAGAGGAGCCTCCTGAAATTGGAAAGGACAAATGCAAAATCCTGCCCCAGGATGGACTTAATCCCCTTGGCAGCAGCTCTGCTCAAAAGGACCTGGGAGCCACAGGCTGAATGTGAGTGACTGATGTGCCCTTGGCGCCATAAAGGCCAACAGCATATCAAGCTGCGTCAACAGAAGCATAGCCAAGAGATCAAAGGAAGGGACTATTCGCTTGTACTCCTCACTCATTAGGCAACACTTGGAGCATGGCACAAGGCTGCGGTTCACAGAGAGGAGCAGGTCAGCAGAGGGTCACCAGTGCAGTCAGGGTGGGCAGCAGCTGATGGAATGAGGCTGATGAGGCTGGGCTCCCTTAGCCTGGAGGGGGAACGGCTCAGGGGGAACCCAACAGCAGCCTGCCACTGCCTGAGATGATTATCAAGAAGTCAGATTATGGCACTTTACAGAGCACAGAGTGGAAGTACAAGAGGGAATGATCTTGAAATGAGGGAGGTTTCATTCCACAAATAAGGAAGAAAAATTAATTATGTGGGTATTTATGAGCGTGTTGGAACACGTTGCCCAGAAATCTGTGTTCCAAGACCCTCTGGTCAAAGCTCTGAGCCCAGGTCTCATCTCACAGTTCACCGTGCTTTAAGCAGAAGCTTGGACTAGAGATCTCACTAGGGCCCTTCCAACCCGAATGAGAATATGAACTTCTAAGTAACAGGCAAACATTATCGGGGAAGTAAATTTAAGGAAGGCTCAAAGTGAAAAATCCTCAAAGAGTAAAATATTCTTATCTTTAATACTTATGTATTATAGTCTCGTGTGTATCAAATTAACAGACAGAAAAATTACTATTACTATAACAAAATAATACAGAAATACAGTGAAAGTTCATGAGTCAAACTCTGGTCTTTAGACACCTGTCTAATTACTATTCCTGTAACAAAACAATACAGAAATACAGTGAAAGTTTATGAGTCAAACTCTGGTCTTTAGACACCTGTCTATCATTCACTTATTTAGTAACATAATATGCTGAATTAAGACTCTCATAACATACTGAATTAAGACTCTCCACGCAGTGATTTCAAAGTATCTGCCATGAGAGTAAAAATTATTGTACCGTCAGTTAAGGAGTCTGATAAGAAATGACCTATTTTAATCTTTGGATAGCATATCTCCAGTCCACCAAAATCAATGTCTTGATTTAATACAAGATCAATGAAGGAAAATCATATTGGAAGTTAAACTGATGCACAAGAGTCATCATGAAAATGGTGATCGTTACATTAAACCATATGTTCACTTATACCTCTAAAAATTCAGTTCTTATTGTTGCCAGTGGACTGAGATCAGCATTCAGCCTGAGTTTTTGACAAAGTGATCAGGTATTAATGATTGGATGTCTATAAATTGTTTTAAAATTAAAAGATAGTTGGGTCTGCTGGGGTAAGTTCAGGTCGGTAATCAAAAGAAAAATATTTACTATGTTATCATTTTATACAGGAATCTGGAAGAGAACAAGGTTAGTATTTAATCATATGATATTAATTTGTTGCCTTTTCTTCATGTTCCAAGAACAAAACATTCTATCATTAAAATTACAGCTGAAGTAATCAGTATAGGAACCTGACATTCATCCTGCTATTAAGTATCAGGCTGCCCGATTCTGTTTAAATGAGTAAGAGACACCTCCCAGGTACAGGTCTGCTGAGAATAGAGAGATTTAGAGTGACCTCAACAATTGTGGAAGATGCAGCAGAAAAAAGGAGTTTAACTTGGCATTAACTACAGCTATTTCAGGAACCAGGGTATCACCTTTGTTCTAAGGAAATCAAAGTCTTAAGGTTCTGGAGAAAATAAGAGTCCTGGAACCTAAAAAACTGAGGGAAGCATACCCTAAAGAGAAAAGACTGGATTAATCTGAACATCACCCTTCTCTCCATCTTGCTGCTCTCTCATAATTTGAGGGTGAGAATTTTGAAAGCAAGTTGTTTAAAAGCTTTAGGTTTTTAAAGCTACAAAACCCAGTTGTTGTTGCTTCAAAAAAAAACCCACCATGATTTAAAAACATTTCAATTCTCTAGATGTATATACAGCTTTGAAGAATCAGCTTAAGCCAGTCACTGTGTATGTGTGCCATGCACAAGGACTATGAAAAAAAACGTTACTTCAAAGACAGATAAAGGCTACATGATTTTTATGCTGTTTACACCTTCATATTAATGAGTTCATAATTTATTCTGGCATTTCCTTTTGTGGACTAAGACACAGTTTCCTAATTTTCAGCTAGAAATAGCATTGACTGCATTAAGACATTCAATACCTATGTATCCTGTCCCATAAAAAGGATTTATGAACCCTCCATATACTTCTAGTACAGCATTCCACATTATTTATCATTATGTTAAGCCATATTTGGCATCAGCAAAACCTGTAACATTCACCGTGTAACATTCAGTTCTAGTATAAATATTTCCCACAGAAATCATTTGCTGACTCATTTAAGCCAGACTGATTGCAGTCTATTAGGTTTTTCTATTGAACTGCCTCCTCCTCATACATGAATTCAGTTAAGCTAATTCATTTCAAGTTAGTTGCTAGGTACTGTCAAAGCTACACATAAGAGGAAATAACAAGTTCTGATGCTTTTTATTAATAGTTGCAGATTTGAGGAAGAAACCTGAAATATCTTTTCAAGCACAACAGTATAAACCAAAGCATCGTCCTGAAGCCAGGTAGGAATATAAGAATTTCATCAGTTTGTACTGGATGCTCCAAGGACCAAACAATCTGCCCTAGGAAATGATACTTCACTATGTAATAAAAGCAAGATGATATCGCTTTCTGATGCCATGTAGTGATATATTATATTTTCCCCTAATGCATGACAAGAACCATCTTTGGAAATTGCTTCCAAGCTATTGTAATTGCAGATTCAATTTTTATCTTTAATAGCATACTACTGTATTACATTTTTGCCTCACTTTCCTTGATAGGTTGTACTGTATAAAGAAGCTCTGCCATCTCCAACCTCAGCATTTTCTCTCCCCCTTATTGTCTATTTTTATACACAAAGAATACATACTTGGCTTTTCAAATGCCAATTATTCCTTCATAGAAATCTTTCTATTTTTCTTTTCTAACCTACACAAATCTTTCTTTTCTAAATGTTCTTTTAAATCTGTATCCTCCTAAAGTACTCAACAAAACCCAAAAGTATAGGATAAAGTATAGGAAGTATATGAATGATTTAACATCTTTCCTAGACAAATACTGAATCTCTCATCTAGCCTTGTTCACAACGATGCCATTTCTCCAAGATAACATTATTGTCTGGAGTAAATGTGACAGTATTTGTGACCCCCAGTACTTTGCTTCTTCTTGTGTGGTATCAGTGGCTCTGCTATGTAAAGTTATTTGGTTGGTTCTCTCTCCAGTGTAACTGTTCTAATAAATAGCACAAGAAAATACCAGCTGGGTACTCAGCAGCAGTCTAGAAACTCAGAAAGGGCACGGAACAACTGCTCTCCGAGTCTTCTATAGGAGGACTGAGAACATCAGGTGAAATTAGAAGGGAACAGGCTCAAAATTGTCACAGCTGGAAGGCTTCAGGCAGCTCCAAGCAGATCAATGTTCTAACACAAAGGCTTCAGGCTCTAGTCTAAGGAAGACCCACGCTCCTCCAAGACTCAGGAGGAAATGCCTCACCCTTAGAAGTAAACGCCCTGCCTTAAATAGTCAGGAGTCATGTGGTTTGCTAGATGGGTCAAGGCTATTGGACACTTGACCATCCATCTCCCAGAGTGATTGGCTGAATGCTACAGCACCTGTTTCAAGGTAACTTTCCCAGTATAACGAGCTACAGGTGTTTCTTAGTTAGCCTGCATAGGCAAAGAACCTTCACAGGAGGATGCTGCAGCAGCCAAAAGGTTTCTCCACACAAAATGAACAAATCAAATTGTGCTTCACTACACATGCAGTTAAAATGTGACACTCTTGCCAAATAGTCTTGTGGAAAGCAAAAATTTATATAACTTCAAAAAGTGGCTGGTGAAATTAATGAAAAAGAAATCTGTCAAAAGATGCTAAATACAAAATTACCACCCAAAACTCAGGAAAGCTTAAAGCAAAGGAGGGGAAGGGGTATTTTGAGGAAGCACAGCTATGCATTGCTAATTTGACTCTTACTTAAATACTGCCACTAACAGAAATATTTTTCTGACATTACTTTCATTCTTTGCTCTTTCCTAGCCTTCAATGTACTCGGAGCTCTGAAGATGTTTGCAGCTCAGGTAAGAACCAGAGATTGCTTTGAAAACTAAACTAGGCATAGATAAACAAGAGTAAGAAATTGATCCGTGTTGCTAGATGTGTACGTCTGCACTGGGGATTTTCAATGCAGGGATCAGTGCAAACGGATTGTTAAAGAAAGCAAGCAGAAAACAAGTAAAACAATGGCACAGCCAATAGTAGTGAAGAAACAAGCAGAGAGTTACTTGCTCGGCTACAGCACATGCCTGGTTCAAGCTAAACACCCAACCTAGAATCCAAGTGCTAAACCATTGCAGACCCCCCACCCAGAAAAGGAAGGGGATTTAAACAAGCTATTGAAGGACAACAGGGAGAGGAAAAGAAGGCAAATTGCTTGGGCATACAAAGAGATGCCCACGGAGAGAGAGAGCACGCTGTGAGAACAGCTGTCTCTGCTTTTCCAGGCAGAGATGCAATCAGCTGGGCTAAATGGAAGCTACAGATGTTCAGAGCATTATAGAGCTGCTACTATGAGTTTAATGCCTTTGTGTAAACAAATAAACTGGTCTTTGAAGAAATTGCTTTAGATTCATCCCAGATTCGTAGAGGGAAGGGCTTGTAGGTGCCATTATCAGGCAGCTCTGTCAAATAATTACGTTTGGAAACAGGACTTCCCCTGGACTGTGTCATTTTAGCTAAGGGAACGTGTTGGAAGCCAACGCTAACATTGGTGGAGTGCCCTGCCAAGTAAGAGCCTGTGGTACAGCTTGCCCAGGAACTGTGGCAACATCCCTCTGCTCGTTTTCCTTGGATATCTTTAAGATTGCCAGAACTGAATGCAACACATAGGAGTAGTTTCACTACATTCATAGGCACACTGTGTTCTCTAATCTTGAAGACAATACTTCTACAAACACTATTAAAAGTTGTGTTAGCTTTTTGCTGTCATATCTTATTGTATTTGTTGTCCACCAACCCCTCTATCTAATTTCTTTAGAAAAGTATGGCCTCATTAGTATTTAACCCAAAATTGCTATGCGTCTCATCCCTACCTTTCAATATATTTACACCTGCTTTAAAAAGTAATTCCATAAACCCAAAAGAGACATAAAAACACCCCAGCATCTACTTATAGACTTTTGAAAAGCAAAATCTCTTTATTAGCCAAACTTCATGGTAAGAATTGTGTAAGTGAAAGAAAACACTTACCATTTTGTTGTGCAAATTTATTTTTGCCGAAACACATAGTAAAGATAAAAGATGCTATAAAGGAAACTCTGATATAATTCTTTCATAAATAGATTCATTGATAAAGAGGTGTATCTATACCTTAGATGGAGTACATATAAATAACACGACCTTGGGTTTTTGGGGGTTTTTGAATGTCATTAAAACGCACCAGCCAAGTTAGCCCATGGTGTATCTCCATTCCTTTGGAGACCTAGGGGCTTTGAGGACCAAGGAGCTATAGGAATCATCCATGCTAGTAACTTCCTACTGTCCTTGACTACACTTGTTATATTCTTCCTTAACTGCCCCTGCAAGTGCCCTTTTCTATCAAAACCCCTAAGCTGTGCCAAGAACCTGGGAGTTGCATAATGTGAATTCATGGTAAAGCAAGTAACACCAGGAAGAACATAAGGACTGTACTATTTTTTCAGATAAAGTAGGTTCACCTTAACTTCGGTCATTGCCAGGCTAAACAAGCCCACCTCCTCCAGCTTTGTTTCACAGGCTCCAGCTCCCTGACTCTGGTGGTGGCCCTCTGCTGAGCCACTTCTGGTTATTAACATCGTTTTTGTGCTGAGGGTCCAATGCCACATACTCTCTTCTAGATACCTACTAAAATAAAAAATAATCTGTCTTTACAGAATCCACAAAGCTGCTGTAGGTCTCTCTTTCCTGCTGTCCTCAGCAGTCTCTCGGTCTTTTTCCTAGGTGCCTCACATCCATCTCTGCTTCAGACACTTTCTACCATCCCTCCCACTGCTCTCAGTCATTCAGGCTCTCTGGGACAGCACAATGTCTTTTTCTCTGTAAATTCCTTGCCCTCATGAAACAAAGGGGACAATAAACAAGTGGCCTTTCCCCCTGCTATACTACAATTTCCTTTCAAGTCCATGTTTGGATTAAAAAATATTTAAAGAAGAAATACTGTTTTTATTAAATTTATACAAATGTCCTTTTTTATCCTAATGTAAACACATATTTCTCTCTCTGATATTTTCAGCATTTACTGTTGAAAACAAATGATTTTTTTTCAAAAAATCTAAAACATTCTTCTTTAATTTGTCAGTGAACTGTTGTTAACTCTGTCCCAGCCAGATCCAGACCACGAGCATTACAAGAGAATTTTCCACTTCTTGTCACACAGTTTAAGACATACCAGAAAAAAAATTCTACAGTACACATGGAGCACTGGTCACAAAGCAAACGTGGTCCTAGCTGTGGAGTCTCTTTTAAAAAATAAAACATTTGGGGATAGCCACCAAAAATGCAACGTGACCACAAATGCCAAAATCAGGATCCAGTAAGCTGAACATATTCACACTTTAACAACTCAAACTGACTGCAGAAACACAATGTAGATGTCTGGTCCTAGATCCTTTGAAGAGTGATTTCATTTCTGAATGGACCAATCACCTGACTGTTTGTCTACTGACATCAGTGGACATTTTTTACTGTCTTAAAAACAAATGTAATGCTGTTGTAAGCCAGAACATGGTACATGTATGCCAGTATTCATGTATGCGTGAATCAATGAAAACTATTAGTCCTCTATAAAAGAATGCCTTCCAAGTCAAATTTCTTCAATATTCTGTCATATGCTCTGTACAGGCAGAAAAATTACAAACTTATAAAGCATTAACAATAGATAAACCATAATGAGATATGGCTTTGGCAAACAGTACTGTCTCTTGTGACAGTAACCAGGAGGAAAAGATGGAAGCCATTGATAATCACATTTTTCTTATTTACTCTTACAATAGCCACTAGGTCATTTTTCCCACCAGCATTACATGAAACAAACAAATGCTTTCTGTTGTAGTGCAGGATATGATGGGTTTTATCTTCAATTAACCATTTCACACACACACACACACCCCGCCCGTGTTGCATACCTGCAAACTGCATTTGACCTATACATTGAAAGTATGATATTGCTTTTCTCGGGCTGTTTCTGCTGCATCCTAATCAGACTCAGCCCGAGCCTCCTACATTACTCCACACTTCGTGTTCTTGCCCCATCCCCTGAACCTGCCCGGCTCCCCAGTGACGTGGCAAGCTGGGTCCAGCTGATAAACAGCAGCCCTACAGACAGTGAAACACATTTGCTTTGGGAGGATGGTTTTTAGCTATCTAAGTTCCCTCAGTCTCAGCCTTCTCAGCAGTGCAGTATGGAGCTGGAACACTCAGCTGGGGACCACCACCCTCATCTTTTTCTTAACGCAAGAGCAACCTCACTTCTTGGTCCTAAATTTGTTAATTGAAACAAGTCGCAGAGCAGATTGAAATTCATCAGCATGGCAAAACCTCTGAATCCTCTAAGGTTTTGATAGCTTGGTGGAAACAATGCTAGCTGGCTATGGGACAATAAGACACTTTAATATGATCCAGCTTAACAGTAGCTGTGATCCAACACAAATACAAGGGCCTCAAAAGGTGAAGGTAGAACAGAATGAACTGTTACACTTGTAGAATAACAAAGTTCCATATTTATTATTTTATTTATCATTTTCTATTTATTATCTTTCATACCACAATATTGTATTCATATCACAATATTCATATCACAATATTGTATTTTCAATCTCTAAGTGCTGTTCTCTGATAGGGTGAAACAAAACTATAACTTAAGTTTTAAAAAATACAATTTTTTTCCTTCTCAATTTACTTTTACAGGATCCACGTTAAACATAGAGAATTTGTCAGTGAAGAAGTCACCATCTCCTACACCGTACACAGCATGCAAAAATAAATCAAAACATTCACTTGTAAAACGGGAAAGGCAATCTCTTACCCATCCCATTGAAAAGGTAAAGAACGCTTCGCTTCACAAAGAGACAGGTTTTTAGAAAACAGGATTATCACTACAGGGTGCGCACACACACACCCTCCATAAGAACTTCAGTTTACTGAAAACATTTCCCCAAGAAGTGAAATGGTCTGAAAGCTACAGGTATTCAGTACCTCTGAAAATGGTCCAATATAAGCTCTTGAAACTATGGATAAGAATTTACATATCCAATTTGATTCAGATTTCCTAACAGGACTTCTTGATATAGATGCATTGCAAACATTTTCATAAACTATGCTAAACTTGCCTTAAATGCAGATTAGATATAATCTGGTTTCACTGGCTTTTCCTTCTGCCAGCTGTGGTTCATTTCTATACACTGATTATGCTATCTTAAAATTAAGGATTTAAAAGAATATGAATGGTACATTGGAGAATATGATCGCCATGAAGCAGAGAAAGCACTGTTACAGGAAAACACTGTAAGTACAATTTAACTCAAAACCTGCAGTATAAACTCTTGGAGAAAATATCTGTAAATTCTCTATGACAGCTTACAAGTTTTTTTGTGAACTAACCATGCAATTCAAATTTAAATGTGTCATACAGGATGAGACATTCTTGGTTAGAGATTGCTCAAAGAAATCAAACACTGAACCGTATGTTTTGGTGGTCTATTACAAAAGAAGAGTATACAACATAAAAGTACGTTTTCTGGAAGACAGTCAACAATATGCACTGGGAACGGGGCTCAGAGGAGATGATGTAAGTAAAATCCCATCTAATGTTACAGTCTGTTGCTTCTATGTCACGCTTCACACATTCTTAATAAAGATTAGTTATAAACTCTCCCACATAACAAAATGGATGTTTCATTAAAGTTTCTTTTAAAATACTCTAATTTCAATTATGTCTTAAAGTTTCAAGCAACTACTAGATAATTTAAAACCAAATTTTACACACCATGCTCAAATTCCAATTTAAATCAATGTGAAAATTTCTTATAAGTACTTATAATACTTCTGCCTACTCTAAGTAACACCTGAAAAGTAAAGGGGAAAGTCCTCCCTTTCCAGCTACACATATTATTTTAGTATATTTTTAAACTTGTTATAATATAAGCAGATACTTAACAATATATACAACTCCACATACCTGACAGCATGGCCTGTTGGGCGTGTTGCTATCACTGCTGCAAAAGGTGAATCAGTTTGTTTTTTTTTTTAAAAAAAGAAAAAAGGAAATGGGACAAAAACTGTCATGGATACTTAGAAGCAATTAAATCATGTGAGACCCCATCAATCAGTCTTTCAAATATGGTATAAGTTCAATTAGAAAATCTCTTTAGATTAGCAATGCTTTTTTACATAATTAAATTCAATTATATTCATGATAAGAGTCTAATTCTTATTCCACCTATATGGTTAAATGACAAATGTTATCTCTGCATGTCTTTCTCACAAAAAAAAACCAAAAAAAAAGTTAAAACTGAATCAGTCACCTCTATAAAGATGTGATACCCGCAAAAAAAAATAATAAAGAATGCTCAGCTGAGCATGAAATTCAGCATGAGGGAGGACCGGCTGCAGAGCAAAAAAGCAAAGCAACAACCTACTAAGAGGGTTATTAGCTATGTAAACAACAGACAGAAATCCATCTAAGATGAAGCAGCAAAGCCTCTGTAGCTAAATCTTCAATTATGTCGTTTTTATGTATGTCAATACTTTTAACACTTATCTTTTATATATATAGACTTAAAAAAAAATTAAATCAAAACTGATCTAAGCTAACTTGATAAATTTGGCAGGTCCAAGATTCACATTTGGATTCTTACTAGAAAAAGCTGGATAGGGTCCATAAGCTTTCAGAGGTGACGGACAAGGTTTGCTGTCAAGTTGTTCTTCAGTTTTAACACTGGTTTAATAATGAAGCGAAAATACCTTTCATTGTTCAAGCACACTGAAACAGTTTGGGATGCAGAAGGACAGAACAAATGGAGAATTGTACTGCAGGTACCATCACCCTGGCATTGCTGTCATGAACCATCAGCCTTCTGTAAAACATTGTCTGCGTTTCTGAACTGAATGTCGCAGATAATTTCCTGAGTTTTAGTACAATTTACGAGACAGCAAGTTTAATTTTCTGTGGTTCTTACATTGTTTAGTCTTCCTGTAATGGCTCTGATCAAAAAAGGCTCAGATTAGAAACAGTGAGAGACTAAAAAACTGGAATGGAACTGAAATAGGGTATATTACAGAATAAATACATAGAACCAAATTTTCATCATTTTAAAGATTTAACAATTAAAACAACTAGAAAATTACCTGAACATTACATAAGCAATTTGAACAACTTTTATTCAACTAAATGGAAGAACACAATCCCTCCCATCTCAGGAAATACCAAAATATATGACTTCGTTGTTCGTTCCAACTTATGCACAGAAAGTATGTACTTTAACACTGGGTCGGGACTAACAACAGTCAAATCGTAAAGTTACAATTCCAGAAGAAGGATTTCAAGCATCTAGTTAATAACCAACAGTAATCCAAGACTTGGGTCTACCAGGCCAAATCTGTAATCATGCCATGTTACCTTTAGCTTTCTTTTTTAATATGGAGTATCATTTCTCTTGAATTCAGAAATCTATCTGTAGATCAACTACAACAGAAAGATTTCAGAATTGTTTTGCTAGTCAGCTATGTGTAGTACCGGGGAGCCTCAGAAATGACAGCCTCCCACTTCTGTGCATTATTCTCAGCAGCAGATGTGACAATAATATTAACATCAGACTGGGCATGAAACACGTGCAATAATGAACAGACAATGGCACCAACCTTGCTCAGCAGAGCTACTTCCATCTCAGGCAGTCTGAAAGGATTCCCAGAAATGCTATTTCTTGAAAACTGTCATCTCAACTTCTGCACTTCACTTAAAGTTGTTATCTCAGGAGGTTGAAAATTTTTGACTGTGAAATACAGCAAATTTGCTGCCCATAGTTTTGCAAGACCTGTTGAAACGTTTTCCAGAGCGCTCTCCATTGTCCCTCCCTTTCTTACACATTTTGCAGTATGCAACACAGACAGACCAGCTGCTTTATCTAGATTAGCTTAATTTTCCCTCTTTGCCTGCTAGAGAAAGCAGCCTAAACAATAAACAGTTGCAGACCCATTACATTTCTCTCCAGTTGTTCATTCTATTCAAAGGTTCAATCTTACTGATTTTCTGCAGCTTGTTTTCACTTTTGGATTACTCTATTTCCATCCACTAAAAACTTGTTTTTTTCTTACACATCATTATTCAAAGTTTTCGCTACCCTATTGCGACTCTTGATTTTTCACATAGTTTATGAAGTGTTAACACTTCGTATGATGAAAAAAAGATTTTTATCTATTTTTTAATGTATTTAATTCAACTTTTGTAAGCACATCATTAGCTCTCATATAGCCCTCTAAGGCCAGCAGAGGGGGAAAAAGTATCATCAAATTTCTGTTTATTTTAAAAAATTGTTACTTCTATGTCAAGGTGGTGGTGATCAACAGCAAGTAACTGAAGTCCCATGCAGCTGAAGTATTATCAAGCTGGAATATAACTGTCACATTAAGACACAAGGTCAGACCGACAGAGGTCAGGAAGCAATTTGACCAGTCTACCAGCTTCCCAAGAAAGATAAGACCCTTGTACCTGACCTACCTGCCCCCCATGGACAGCCCACGAAATCGGAGGATGTTCACCTAGCCTTTCAGGACCCTGCCAGCAGCACAATGAGCCAAATCCCTTATAGCAATTATGAACAAGTTTCTGGAAACTTACATTTATATATAAAAAGTTTTATTACATATACTTGTGACAGGATACAGATTCGAAGATAGCCGGTGATAGGGACTGATTGCGAAAACAGATTTGATTTGGAATAAAATAAAACTAGAACTGAGCAGTGATAATACTCAATAGCTAGCAAGATGTTAGTAAGTAAATGCGTGTAACACAGAGCTCTTACCCAACAAGCGTCCCTACGGGGCGGAGAAGAGAGGTCCAGCCCGTCGACTGATCCCAGACGTTTTAATGGAGGGCTTCTCCCTGACATCCCCCTTCTCTTTCGCCATTTTATACTTTTACTTTCAGGTGGAGCTTGAGTGACTCTAGTCATACATACCTTTATTAGGATTGGTGTAAATTTTTCTCGCTTCGATTTAAAGGTGTAGGCTAGAAGAAACTCGGGGCGCGTGTTCCGTTAGGGGTGGTTGCAGCCCGGAGGCGGGTAGCTTTTGATGTGGAGGTGTGTTTTGGTATTATAATGACATTATAATGAGCAAAGTTCAACCACAGGACATAATTTCAGCATTATTGCTGAGGCAGTAGTTGCAATCCATCTTCCCTGATGGCAATTAGACGGTTATCTTCACCAGATGTTCTCAACCCCAATAACAGGGATGAGCCATGGTACCTCCGTACCACTCTACTCCCCATTTCAAAGACATTGCTCATTCCATCTGACTAGCAGGCCGCGTCTGTTCTGGGAGCAGCAACTGTGTCTCACCTCAAAGCTGCTCTAATATTACAGCGTTTGAGCTGAACTTTGCAAAGCCGTATTTCTCCATTTTCCCCAATTTCAGTTATTTTCCCACAATAATGAATACAAGCAGAGGAGGAAAAAAAAAACCCAAACCAAATACTAACTGTTAGCAGAGCTGTATCTTCTGCTAGCAATTTAGCCACAGATGTTCACATCTACATACGTATTTCATATATTATACTGAGCTCACTAAAGGCCAAATCACATAAAGCTATAAAGACCAGATTCCCAAATGAGATATATCTGGAATTTAGGCATCTACATTCAAAACTGCTGTTCTGAGCACCCTTTACTTGGCTGTTGCTTTCCCCTACTCCAGCCAGTTTTCAATATTAAAGATCCAGAGATACCTTTAATGCTGCTTCTTTTCATGTACACAGTTCTTTTGAAGATAAAAAATCAAAACCTTGCTCACATTTAAAGCTGATCATGACACAAAATTTAAATGCTTTTCTTATCGCCTTTGCTTAACTAGATCTGCCACACTCAAAATACATGTTTTTAGCATGTCTGCAGCATCAGGCTCAATGCACAATGCAGTAACTAAAAATCAAAGGCAGGAGTAGGCTCCTCTTCAACTCAGTGCCTGTTTTACACAGAAGCTTAGAGCACAGCCCAATATGTATCTGTGGATCTCACTCTTCTGGCCCCAGATGGTTTTCTCCATCCTCACCACTCCCTATCATTATTTGCCTTTCATTTTCAAAGCATTGGTCATACAAGTCATGTCAATTCAACTCAGTTCAATTCAAAGTGAACTGGTATGAAATACAAACCACAGTTTTGCCTGGTTATTTCTAATAGCAATAGTGATCTTGAACATAAGGCAAAGACAAAATAGCGAAGTAGAACACATGTATACAAGTAAAAATTATCAAAACTTTCAAAAATTAGCGCACTGGTTTTGAGATCAAATAATTTTCATCTTAAAATAATACAGAACAGTTACAGCACATCACAGATTTAATCAGATTCTCAACTGAGTGTGGATCAGATGGAGATGACTGGGACTACCATGTATACAATGGATGCCAACACTTACAGTAAATGCAATATATAGAGATACAGGGTATTAATGTCACAGTAAGCGTGCATTACTGTGTACAGTTCCAGTGATTTAATACCAATGAACATAAAGAACAGCTCAAGAGGAAAAACAGTGGTGTGATGACAGCTTAGCGGTGTGACGATGAGAGCTTACAAGCCACACACAGGGAAGAGAACTATTTAAGCTGAAGGACTGCTAACCATTGGAATGGTAGGATTAAGAGGCTACCACCAGAACAGATGAGGATAAATACCTTGGATAGCTTCCCATTGTTGCTTGATCAGTTCAGGTATCTTGAACCACACCTTTATCATTTTAGGAAGGGGCTTGGAGGATGTCGTTGTTTTGAACACCAGAGAACAAGACTAAAACTCTGCCAAGACCCTTCTTGTTCCATACTTTAAACAGCTTTTATAGCAACTTTCTCAGTGAATTGAATGGGGAAATAAAAGGTACATTTAAAAAGCTACAAAGAAACTTGCAGCGTAAGGTATCATGTACTGCTAATTAAGTGTAACTTTTGACAGGGGAAAGATAGTAATGATTTCTAGTTGCTTCATCTTTTCAAAATCTATCATTATATCTGGCAGCACAAACTTCTACAGGCAATTCTGCATTCTTAGGGCTTAGACATGCTCCCCTTTTGCCCTAAGCGGCCAGCTGCTTTCTCCTACACAAGACAGAAAGACACAAAGGGAATAAGAGGATTAAATTCTTGTGCTTTTCCTTTTATGATTGGTTCCACCTAATCTAATCATAATTCTATGCAAAATATCGTCTAACATAGTCATTTGCAAGTCTTTTAATGTTATAGATAAAATCATCTAGCAATTTCATTTTGTCACTCATTACCAAATTTCTTCTTCCCCCAGAAATTTAATTCTGTGAAAGAAATCATTGACTTCTACAAATACGTTCCCATCACGCTCATTGACGGAAAGGACAAATCAGGAATCCAAAGAGAACAATGCTATCTTACATATCCATTCAAGTCACGCAAAAGAGGTCTTCTGCCTTAATGTTACCAATCTGTTTGTACAGCTGTAAATAGAAATATTATTTAAATGCGTCAAAAATCTGATTAGCCTTTGAGTGAGGAGCTCCCCGTAATATCATGAAGCATTCTAAATGTTCCACTAAAAACCTTCTCTCCAACTGAGAATACAGATCTACTCCATTTTTTGATTCTTCCAATTCATTTTAAACTTTGAAGATACAGGTAAAATAAATGTCGTTGTATTAGTTCACAGAAAGTGTTAAGAGACACTGACTCCTGGTATGTTGACAATGATTGAGCAGTTTGCTTACCTTGCACTGTACCTTCTAACACAAAAAGAAAACCAAACTCAGTCTTGCTTACCTAAATCTCACTGAAGCCCAGTTAGTAGCAAAACCTAATAAAACATACTACAGTCATATTAAAAAAATACTCTTGCTTTTAAAAATACACACGAAATGCTGCTTATCTGAGTATTCACTGTTTAACAATTTCATTCAGTGTGCATATGTGTTTGCATAGTAACAAGCTGTGCTCAGCAGCCGCTGAAGTTAGTGAGTGTTAGCTGGTGCTCACAGGTATTGGAGCAGATTAAAAAGCTAGCTTGAATTATGTAAATTCCATTACTTAACTAACACTTATTCTTTAGCTGAAGTAGCAGATACTTATATTCTGTATTTGAGCCTTAAAACACTTACACAGTAGCAACATTATGCAAACTGTCCCTTTGAGTTCATACCATGTGCAAATATAGATAAAAATCATTGTTAAGAACAGCAAATGTGCTTCAAACTCAGCAAGAAAACATGTTGCAGTACGTATCAGAGACGATAAGAAGGTGATATTTTTCCAGCAAAAAATATGGTAATATTTATTCATATAATTTGAGTTTTGGAAGGCTTAACTAAATTCATTATAAATACGAAAGGCAAACTTCAGTATTTTTCTGTGAAGCGTCCATAATCTTCCTTTCTAAGCATGCTCAGACTAGGTAACTGGAATATACCAAGAAAGCAACCTCAGTTACTTTATCCTTACAGAATAGGAACAAGAATAAAAACATTCAAGCTGAAAACATGACATTCCAAACCAATTTATAATGTAGCATGTAGTGGCACAAAATAGCTTTAAAAAAAAAATTTAGCAGTTGGTTGTAATTTCCTTGCAATCTTTTTATTTCTCAATGCGGCATGAAAATGTAAGAGAACATTCATTATCATTATTTCTCTCAAACCACTGAGACTGTTAAACTTGAAATAAATTCTTCTGCCGTAACATTATCTAATAATAAAAATGAAAATAAACAAAACAGAAGCTGCTACATAGAGTTTGGCAGAGCTTTTAAAAAGGAAAAGACACATGACGTAATCTGCTTTAGGAGTTTCATAGCCACTATATAATTTAACTTACAAAAGTTTTTCACGTTAAAACAAAAAAAATATTTTCTAAATTAAATCCATGAAAAAGCCACAGCTGAACAATTTAGATAGCAGATTATGGCAGTGACATACAAACCTTTGCAGATGTTTACTAAAACAGCAAACTTGTTCACAAAAGACAAGCATTACTAGTATACTTAAACCACCTAAAGTCTATAATGCTGAGCAGCAACACTTCCCCTGCCCTCCCATACAGCTTTCATGAGGAATATTCTAATTTTGCCAGTGACAACTCTTACGAAGCAAATTCAAAACTATTTATTTTAATAGCTTCTACAGAAAAAAACAAATCATTCAAACAGTAACCTGGACTGAAGGAGTTAAAACAAAGGAGGAATTTTAACCACGTTTTTTCTTATGTTAACAATTTCAATATTTATTATATGTGATATGCTAAAATTTTAAAGTTGAAGCTGTTTTCACAATCAAAAATGCAAAGAGTACTGTAAGTTTGGCATCAAAGTATATGAAGTGAAAAAACCCTCTAGTGTATCCATCTAAAAAAATATAATTCCATTTGAATATAAAATGAGAACTGTCATTTCATTATTATTGACAAAACAGACAAAAGGAAGTTTGCTCTGTGGAACGGGTTAGTCTGATACAAATGATACAAAAACTTTCCATGTGTACACAATGAAAAAGATTTGACTTAAAGCACCAACTATCCGAAGGATTTTAACACTGTATTGCAAAATAATTGGAAAGCAATGTTTTAAATGGTTTTGAAAATAATCCTCAGTCAGATGAAGTTTTAAAATATTTACATTTCAATACAGATACGATACATACTTTATCAAAACAATGTATAACCTGCTGGAGTACATATAAAAAAAAAATATTCCCATCTTAAACTGTTTACAAAAATGCACCAACAGTGAAAAGAGTTAGGAACTACCATTTTAAGAGTAATCCCATTTCAAACATAGAACACACATCCAGCATTAGAATCAGTATTGATTTTCTTACCTGTAAAAATGTAAGAAGTGATCTTAAGTGTAAATATGTGCTTCAATATTGTTCATTCTATATGACGTTAAAACGATTTAAAATTGACAATATGAAGAAAAACATCTACTGATGTACAGAAACATTAGACTTCAGTATAATCTGTCCTTCTTCTTCACTAGAAACTTGACATTTGGCCCTGATTTAGGAAAGCGTGTAAGCAACTGAGCAATGTTTACACTGCACTGAAGTCAGTAGATACACGTTAGACGTACACACGTAAATAGGCACATGCTTGTATGAATTGAGACCTTCAAAAAAATATATTCTAGCATCTGAATTCTTAAGAAGGATGAAAGATTGCACTGAAAATCTGGTCCAATACTGTCAATGTAAAAGCTGTGCAACATGGCTTTTCATTTTGAAAAGTCTTCATCCTCAGCAAGTTCCCCCTGTAAGTAAGCATTAACTCACCAACTAGAGTTCCAAGCAAATGCCCAATTCTGCAAACGTGTTTCTATCAGGCTACGCACATATGGTTCAGCTATTACTTCCTTAGATTCCAGAACAGCCTTAAAACCATAGAGTAAAGGTTTTCTCGCTCTCTATCGGTCCAAGCCTGATGGCATCTCCGGCTCTGCCTGTTCAACAAAGATGGTACAGAAAGCTGACAGTGTCCTGCTCTTGCTCGCATCTACGCAATACAGACTAGGTAAAGACTAAGTACAAAACAAAATTATATTTTTTAGTACTATCTCTAGTGGAAGTAACTCTGACCCCACAGATTCTTCATTTACACCCTTTTATCTCCTCTGAAGTCAGCAGAAGTGGTTTTGTTTCACCGAACAGAACACTTGCATTTAGGTTTTACTTTTTATGCGTGGTGCTTAATTTGCCACCAAAACCTATGATATACACTTGCTGCCCAAAGAGGATCAAAGGTGCTTTTCAGGACACATATGCTCGATCTCTGAAACACAATGCTCTAATAAAGCAAACTAAATTCTGTTAAACTTAGAAAACCTCATCATCTAAGATTTTAATCCATAGAGACCTAGTACAAACCAGTTACAGCACAGTATCCTAGCGCAGAGAACAGTAACTAGAAAGATGTTTGCATAGCAAATCTTTTTCAAATTTCTCCTATAGAACAGATGAAGTTGACCTCCAATACAAATTTCAAACATGACAGTGCGAAGTAGTGCTTAATCCTCACTATGGGCTTCTCTGTATCTCTAACTCTGCTCTCCTCTCCCATTTTGCCAACAGCAGAGACCTTTTGGCAAAATAAAGCACTTATTTCAACCTTCCTTTCCAAGTAAGTTAGGAGCATTCATTAAAAATAAGAGGGGAAACTCCCCTCCTAGGCTCTCACTTAATGCTTTTTTGCTGGAAGAGAAAGAACATCCCAACCCTTGGTTGCCTCTATCAAGTGCCTCTGTCCATGGCTTATCCATTCTTCTTGGTCCATATACACTCTTCCACAAAACCAACATTTAAACATACACTGAAGTGTTTCAGCTGGTGAAGTTTCCACCACCTGGTAGTTGTTTTTATGGGTCTTTTTTAGTTTCATTTTTAGCATATTCTGCTTTTTTCCTTGGTTTCCTGTCTCATTCTGAAGAGTAAGACGCTTTCGGTAACGTTTAACACCAAGATAACTACTTGTCCTTTCTGATAGAACTACTTTCAGGACTTGACCTTTATACTTGTTGATAGTCTTCATGACATTAATTATCTCTGGCGAGTCAACATCAGGATGGTTTAGTACCACAACCGGCTGGTTACGACGAGGGCACTTTATCAACTGATCCATTCTCAAAGGGACAAGCCGAAGACGTCTTGCTGTCAACAGATAGGACATGTCAGAACTTGAACTGGTTTCCGACTGAGTTCTTCTTTTTCTCTTAGGAAGTTCCCTGAAGCTCGCTTGTTTTGCCTTACTTTTAGGACCTAGTTGTCTTTTTGAATAGGGTTTGTTTTGCTTACTCACATCACTGCTTTTCTGAAACAGTACATCAGTTTGTTTGCTATTATTTTTAACACTTGCCTCTCGCTTTGGTCTTTGTCTCAGTGATATACTTCGGGACTGAGCATTCGGTTCGCTCTGATTAGGCAAACGTGGCAAATTACTGCTAAGTGTCTCAGAAACACTGACAGGAACCGGGCGAGGCAGAAACATTTCATTGCAATACACAGAAGGAGCTGATGTTTCACTCCCATTTTCTATTCCATTCGAGTTAGTAGCATTCAGCACTCTCAACATTGTCCCTTCAGGGATAAACACTGGAGTAGCAACATGGGAATTTTTAGTCACCCTGCTTTTAGATGTTCTTGCAAATGTAAGCAGATGATCTTTGCTGTGTTCTTCACTACTAATCACACTGTTTGCATCATGCACTTGAGACAAAGACACAGACTGTTCCACTTCGGTGGCAGGAACAACTCTCTCACAGCTTGCTGAATTTTCTTGAGGGAAAAGCACCTTTTTACTAGAAGCTTGACATCGCAAAGGCATGGATTTCATGTTAGATTCAGCAGCAGACATGAGCTGAGCAATCTTCCTACACAGCAACGTTGCTGAGTTCTTATTGCATTTTGTGTCATCCCATCTGACACTCTCTGGAACATCTTC